CTTTATAGTCTATTTGTAAGAATGGTTTTTTAAAATTAATTTGTTTATATGGTAAATTGATAAAAGTAGGGTTGAATATTGTATTATTAGTTTCATTTAATTCTGTAAATTCAAAGAATGTTTGGTCTGTTTGTCTTATGGTTGCTTCCATCTGTCTGTTTGGCGCAATTAATGATCAGTCTCAGTAGTTCAAATGCCTTGTATTTATTAGAATTGTTATCGTTTGGTTCAGCTTTCCATTTGAAATATCCACTAAAGCAATAGATTGAAAAGATTTCTTCCCGAGGGCTCAATTTTAAGTAATCGATTAGAAAGATAATAGCAGTCCTTTAGTTCATCAAAGTTAATTGAATTACATAAAGGGGTTGCTAACTTTTCGGGCAATTCCTTAAAATGAGGCGAATTAGGAAATCCTAGGTCGGCATTCTGCGTAAATATTAATAAATATAAACAATCGATCGATGACATTTGGATGGTTTACATAATATTGCCAATATTACCTTCAAAAATATCTCGAAAATATTTTTTAGATGTTCAAGGGACTCTATTCTGAATGGCTTTCTCAAAGTTTGGCAACGCAGATAAATATAACCACATTCGTAACTTTTTAGGATTGTCGATAGTAGTTCTCTGATCTGAAGGTTTTAATGCTGACGTCGGAGGTATTTGTTGCCTGGGTTCTGAAACAGGCAAATCTTGCTGCGTTGATTGAACTAAAGGATTGCTTTGCATTGGTAGAGAGTCGTAGTTTACCGATATGCGTCTAGAGTTTTGCTGATCATTATTTGAAGTTCTACCTGTTTGATTTAATGGTCGAGCACCAGCAGTTTGGTTTAAAGGTGTTAATTGTTGCCGTGGAGGTAAAGAAGGACTTTGCTGCGATAATTGTTTATTTTCACAATATTATCCTACTAGCAGCACGGCCATCATTAGTTTTACTTCGAATCATGTTAAGTTCTTCTATCTTGTATATAAGATCATCGTATATGTAAGCTCTTGAAAAATTATTGACAACTAAATAAATAAAATTTTCTTACATAACATTCCTTCGTATAACGGTTTGAGCAGCAACTCTAACATTTTCATGAATTTCAGAATCAAAAAAATTGCTAATTGAGGATTCTAAATATTCTGGACCAAATTGAGAGTCAGTACGATACGATTCTAGTATCAAGCGGACAGTTGGCTCTAAAACAAAATAAAAGGCAATTAAAAAACAAAATTACAAACAATCAGACTTAACAAATAGATGTGTATTTACCGATATTCATTATATTATTGTTTATACTTTGATTTATGCTATTCCTGTCAAAAGATAGCCGGTTTTGACAATAACATAATCGACTGTTTAGCTTCGCTTGAATTTTCTTTGTCGCGCTGCATATAGAATAATTAATTAACAACCCTTTGGACAAATCGTTATGAAAACTGATTTACATACTGCAGGGGCAATCATTGCGCTGATTAATTGATGTCTTTGGTATTCTGCATTTGGCTTTGCTGAGCGAAATGCACTGCATATCAATCTTATTAGATATGTCCAAAAGTGTATATCCGGAAACTGAAAAATCCCTAAAAAAGGTCTCGAGTTTTCGTGCAATTGTCGCAGATGCAACATTGAAATATTTGCCGGCTTTTGAGGGTACCAGTTTTTATTGCTCCGTCCGGTTCAAGAAAGTTTGGAGCCACTGTCACTGCTGCGTTCAGTTGCTCGGCTTCTTTAATTAAAGTAGTTAAAAATTGGTGATTTCTGAAACTTGGGCACATAGGTAATTTCCTTAGCTGTTGAACGATTGCTTTTCATTTTTGTATTAATTGGGGGCTTGGGAGATTTCTTTTAATTCTTTGGGCGACTTGTAAAATTTTTGATTTGTAAGCTTCCATAATTCGAAATCGACCTCAAAACCATATTCGAGATCAACAGAACTATTATATATTATTAATAAAATTTTATTCGGATTCAAATTATTATAAAAAAAATACACGTGTGTAAAATAGTAAATTAATTTACCTAGTAGCTCTTTGGTACATTTCTCGCAAGAGCGAACACCAGGAATCCAATATAATTTAAACGTCTCTTTAGTTTGACAAAACTGACAACTGTTTTCTACGGTTAATAGTCTCGTAAAAGTTTTTCGATTCATTGTTGACGGCGGTTCCATTTTTCGAAAAATTATAATTTTATTTCTAGAATTTCTCCAGATTTCTCCTGCTAATGGAATGATATTTTCGTCTAGAATACTTTTGAAAGTTTTGCACACGCATGCCATCGCAAGATCTGATGGCCGCAAATTATTACAGACAAATATAATAATTGTTTCTACGTCTACGTTTTGCATTTGTGTTCTTATGTGTGTACTTTACGTACGTGTGATATTTATCATTTTATATCTGATATGTGCAGGGGTGAAAAATTCTAGCTGATCTAGTGCAACGAAGTATGGCAAGTGATTCCAACCTAGTAGTGTTACAAGCCGGCTGGGGCAGCCGCGGCTAAGGCAGCTTAGCCGGCTAAGCCAGCCGATGTAATATGATCGGCTGGCTAATGCGGCTTAAGGTCACATGACTTTGGTAGTATAATTTAGGCCAGAACGATAATGTCAGCCAGAATTAAAAAACAGAAAGCAAGGATCCGAAGAAAAAATGAGGTTGAGAAAAAAAATTGGAATAATTTCCAATATCTTCCGAAGTAATAAATTTGTGCTTACCTTAGCCATTAGCCAGCCGCTAAGCTGAATTTTTTATCGGCTGGCTTAGCCAGCTGATAAAAACCTTACGGCTTGTAACACTAGTTAAAACAAACGCGTTTTGTTTTCTAAGTACTGAGTGCGTATAAAATTAAAGCCGCGTTATAGGTAGGGTTTTGGTTGTTTTATTAGTAAAATTTCACGAGGAACATTTTTAATTAGGCCGTAGAAGGTGGTTTCATAATTAAAATTTTGTTTTTTTGTAAAAAAGTGGGTTCGTTTCGATTTTTACGTTACACCTGATCCTGAAATTTGATTGGCCAATATTACAGGGGTGGAAATTTTTTGTACTAGGGCGGCTAATGTCAAATCGATTACAATTACTAGGCACTGTTCCTGACGAAAAAACATCGGTTTACGTACTGTACTGTTCCTGATAAGATTATAAAACTACACTACTGTTAAAATATAAATTATGACGTAAAAATTTGTCAGCCCATGATTACTGCCCAACCCGATTATAAGATTAACATGTAACATAAAATTCAAAAAATAACGATATTGAATCGGAAATAATTTTGCATGGAAATTTAGTATTCGGTCATTTCAGTAAAGTTTTTCAACCCAAATATCCTTACCATATTTGTGCGAATAACGCCCATGGGCGTTATTTAAGAAAGAGAGCTAATGTTAATACCGTATATTACCGATTAAAAGCAACCCCTCAGATTTTGGAGCCAAAAATTTGACTACAGTTATTATGTTTTACTAATAAAATTGTACTCAAATAAAAGCAACCCCTTCATTTTGGCTCAAAAAAGTTCTCATTTTTTTTGCAACATTTTGGTTGCTTCTATTCGGTAACATACGGTAATTAATTTAACGGAATACAACCATAATTTTATTGTTGAAATTTTTTGCTAAATTAATTACAGTATTAGTTCTTTTCAAATTATATGTCTCAAGTAACCACATGGATGTTATTTCGATACTGTATTATTTTAAGTAGCAATATTTATATTAGTCGAAACCAACGTTTATGATTAATCACGGATCAAGATTTTAGCATTCCCATTACAGCTAAGCATTTTCATAAGAAATTGACTTCGGAGTTCCTATAAGAACCCTATCAGGAACGGTATGTAATCTGTTTTTTCTTTTATTATTATACAATACTGATGATCCATCAGAAATGGTATTTTTGCGTTATTGCATCATTTAAATTTTTTTCTAAGATATCTCTAGGCTTGAGAGTATAGTACTGTTAATGAATTTTAATACCTCTTTGAAATAAATACAGTCTTTTATTTGTAAAATATTGCGTGCTTGAAAAGCTATACATTGATACTGTATACTGTATGTAAATATGACTACTAGAGATTTGCAAGTGCCTGTGCCTAACAAAGAGCACAAGTATAGGCATAGGCGCAGATGCAAACTATTTGGCATAAAGCAGTTGAATACTTTGTAGATGCAGACACAAACCTTGTGTTATAAGCATAAACCCTGGCAAAATTATTAGGAAGCTGCCTGGCCCAAAGATGCCTGGAATTTTACATATTCAGTCAAACCTCACCAACTTGGGAAACAGAAATCTGGTGATTATAAAAAGTTGGGACTATATAAAGGTCAAATTTTATATGTTTTATAATAGCTCAAGTTAAAAAATAGTGTGATTATATCAAGGTTGTGACTATATCAAGAGTGACTAAAACAAGGTCTGACTGTATATCTACAAAATGCCGGGTGAGCCGTATAACTTAGTTAATCGGGTCGTTATTGCTACCCGGAACTTTCGCATAGGCAACCTCGTAGGTAGGGTTGGGGCACGGAAAATCCTCACATGGGGCACGGCATAACACCCTAAAACATCACGTGAAAATCATTAGTAAAACATCACATGTAGTTAGTAATTTATACGTGATGATTTAGCGTCACGATCTCGTGCCCATATGATGATTTGAAATCACGCCCCCGTGCCCCAACCCTACTCGTAGGCAGGTATGTTGCATTTGCAGATCCCTAATGACTACTGCATAAAGAGATTGACTAATCAAAAAAGCTATTCTAACTATAGATGCTGGTGAAATTAATTTCACCAATTTCACCAATAGTGGTGAAATTATTTCACCACATTTCACCGTATTTCACCAGCATCTATAATTCTAACTACAATACACTAAGAGCTCACAATATTGTATTAGTATAATAGAAATTTGGTTTGATTGGCTAATCAAAAAATTCCGACTGGCCAAAAATTAAAATCTTATCTTGCTTATATGAAAAATTCGAAACATTTATTCAAAAGAAACAATTATTTTTATTAATTATTTCTCTTTAAAACATAATACTGTTACTGTATCTTGTCAGAATCGCTTCTAATAAAAGTTGATGGAGCACTTTATCCTACTTGATCCCAAACTTTTATATGAAAGTTAAGCGTCCAAAAAACCATTTTACAAAATTTTAGGGGGCCTTAATTATAAAAATTTCGATATTATTCCTCTTGTAAAAACTTGTGTAACAATATTTTGTCAATCAATATAAAATAAACATCCAATCAAAACGAATTTCCATCATGTTTGTTGTGTCAGCCAGACGAGACGCGGTTTTGTTCATGTCAAAATCATCAGTACAAGACAAACGTGCTAATCAGATGTCTCTATCAATTACAACAGAGGAGCTTGAACCTATGTTAAAGGTGATAGACAACAATACCAAGAGAATATCCACGTCTGAAATTTCTGATTTTCAGCCTGTACTAAATGACTGCATGATTGTTACACGGAATATCGTGACAGGTCTTCTAAGTACTGATCTTCAAATAATGCCATTTGAGGTTACACATCCAGTTAACGACGATGAATCAAAGAAGCAGCAAAAGGGAAATATGACTAAGGATGATACGCAACCGTCAAAAACTGATACCATATCAAAGCAAGTCGATCATTCACAGTCTACAACAGCCTCTCCAATATTCATAGATCTTACAGCGTCGCCTCCAGCTGCGTCTGAACTTATATCAAAAACAAATCAGGAAGACAAAAATGAACCTATCCAGCGTCAAGCCTATGATATCGATAGCTTATCCCAAAATACCAGCCATAAACGAAAAAGGGGACTTAACACTGGTTCTCGAGATATCGTTTCTGGTATGGGAACACTTATCATAGATGACAAACAAAAATCTTCTGAATATGCTACAAAAATTATTAAAGAAAAGAAACACTTTGGTAATTTAGAAAAAAATGATGAAAATACCTCAAAATCAAATCAAAGTGATGATAACGACGAGATGTCAACTGATGAGTTCTTTATAAAGTCTCCAAAAAAAAAAAAAGATGTTAAGGGGAAAAGTGTTACATCTAATGAAAAAAGTGAGGGTATAGAACATAATAACAAGGAATCATCTTGGAATAAACAGTTAAACCATCCTAATTTTCAGGTAACATTTGAATTTCAGTTTATAGCTATTAATAAATTAATTTTAATATTTAATTCTATATTATTTTTCAGGATATTTTAACCAAATATGCCAACAATACCAGGATTTTTCAGACTGGAGAATTTGAGCATACAGTAACTTCAATGTATGATGTTGTATATTCACATTATGCAGAATTTAACAAGAAAAAAGTTTCATTATCGACAATTGAGTGGGGTGATGTATCATTAAGGGTAGGCGCTTCATCAGACACAAGCAAGAAGTATATGCTCTATAGTGGTATAGTCTTAATTTTTCATTGTACTATTAACAATATATAACGAACATAACGAGTAAATTGAATTAATTTTTCAGCTTGTTTACTAATTGTTTATTATATGTACAGCTGTCGAACTAATAAATAAAAATCCTACATGTTTGGGTATTATGGATTGTGATCTCTTTTCAAAAGATGATGAAAAAATAAGAAATAATAATTTACAGATCATGAACAAACTTAAATTCACTAAACGTAATAAAAATAGACAATGTGGGGTAAGTTACAAGAGAAATCAATAAATTTATTTGAATAACTATTAAATTAATGATCTATTATTTATTATAAAGAATGTTCATTTTATTAAATGCATTCCACATCATGATCATGAATTAATTCAACAAGCAAGGTGTATATCTTTTCATGTGGTGTTTTATACATGTTTTTCTTACCTTTTCCATAATGTTTACTTAAAAATTATTACTAACATTACTCTTATTATTCAAGACTTCTAAACTTGGATACTATTATTACAAGCGGAAATAAACGGATTTATGAGTGGAATGTCAGAACAAAAAATAACACGTTAGCAGGAGAAACGTAATATTATATTTTAATAAGCAAATTGATCAAGGGTCAATGCTTTTTGCGTTTATGTGTTTATAGATTGTTGCTCATTTAATTTGCATGCTTAATAGACAAATCCCTTCTCGGAAGTTTGTGGTGGACAATTCTAACAATGATAATATAGGTCCAAGCCTCTCAGTTGATAAAAATCAACGATTAATTGTCAATGGAGGTAAATATGCCAATTTCATAAAAAAAATTTTTTTATCTACTTTTCACCATTAAATTTTTCTTTCGAATGCCCTTTATGCTTTTAATGTTAGCATTAACCGGGCACCTTGTAGTTTGGGATTTATACGGATTTGGATCCTACCATAATTCAACTGGTATGACGTTTTAAATCATCATAGGTTAATTTTTATGCGTTAATCTTATAATTAACGATTCATTTCTTTACGAGTCTAGTATTTTACCCACAGTTCACCACAAAAGTCATTGAAGATCCTGCTACTGAAAAAATTCTTGCCGTTGATTTCAATACAATCACTAATGAGATTTGTTGTACTACCAGCGGAGGCGATATAAAAATTTGGGATTATCGTAATAATAACGTCGCACAAACCGCAAGTATTCAAAAATTTTCTTGTAATTTGTTATTTATTTTAGTTTAACTTATTTACCATTTTTAAATAGGTTCAAAAGGCTCACAATGTCGCTATAACTAGTTGTCACTGGAATCCTCATGATAAGCATTACTTTTTAACAGCTGATGAAGATGGAAATATTAAATATTGGGATTCGAGATCAATGCGTAGTTTAATTGGATTATTACAGGCAAGTTAGTGTAATTTTGGCTAATGCGTTAAATGAGTTTCGATATTCTTTACCATTTTGTTCATCTTACTTCTCGTTTTACAGGGTGATCGATCATTAAAAACCTTTAAAAAACATGACAAACGCGTGAACAAAATCATGTGGTCACCACATTCTTCTGACACATTTGCAAGTTGTTCAGATGATAGTTTAGTTATCCTTTGGAATGTTAAAGTAGGCTTTATAACTTGATAAAAATATGCATATTTTACTACATGATTTATGAACAAAAATTTTATGTATAGAAAGCCGATAGTAAACTTGGAAGTGCCTTTTTCAAGCATATAGGCCATCGGTAGATATATTAAGATGTGTTTCAAATAGCACCTATTTTAGCTTTTTATATGTGGTAGTAAAATTATCCAACTTTTTTAGGACTAGGGTTGCAGACATCGCATGGCATCCTGATGATGCATTTAGCAATACGATTGCGTCTGTATCCACTAGTTTGATCACCTCTAATGATAATAATAAGATTAAGCCAAGTCTAATTCAAGGTAATATAATTTACCGTTTTTTTCATTCGTGGAAATGTTCAAATTAATTAATTAATTAATTTGCAGTTTGGCGGCCTAAAAAAACTTTTTTCGAAATGGAAGTTCCTAAATATTAGGAATTTGGTAGTATGTATGATTTAAACTGTTCACTTTATATTTCTTTACTAAAATGTAGGGTTGTTAATTGGTGTATCATACTCTGGAGTACTCCAGTCTGAGCTCAAACCAGTCTGTAGTGAGTCATAAAATATATTAATTAGAATATTCAACCCAGTTTGAAACTAGAGTAAACTAAAGACAAAAGTAGAGTATTATAAGTATTATATTAGAACTTAATACTCCAGGCTGGTTTGGGATAAGACTATTTTCAAACCAACCCAACTCATTAACAACCCTACTAAAATATTTACGACTATGTTTTATTTGACTAATTGAAGTATTAATTTTAATTTTATGGCAATTAATATGTTTTTTGATGTAATAAAACCAACGATAATGCAGATGTTATTGCTTAATTTTCGTTGGCTGGTAAATTGAACTTGTTTTTTTATAATAACTTTTATTTAGTTTTAAAATCTAGTAAGTTATAGTGTTTTTTTTAAAATTATTTTTTTTTTAAAGAATATTACTTATTTTTTTTTAATTTTTAAAAACTTAGTAGAACAAGAAATCAGGAATTAAATTTTTATATATTACTAATTTAAAATTATTAGGTTTAAAATTAGTTTATATTTTATTTTTTTTTTTAAAAAAACAATTAATATATAGAATATTATTATAAAATATATTTTAAATGTTTTAATTATTATTAGTTAAATTATATTGTATTACAATATACAAGATTTTAAGTTAGATTTAAATAAATTTAAATATTATGAATAATATTTTATATAAAGTATACTTTATTATTTAAAACCAAATTTATAAATTATTTAAATAAGTTATTTAAATTTTTTTTTTTTTTTTTAACTCTTTAACAGTTTTGCCAGTGCTCAATTTATTTAAGACTATATTTTGGTAAGAGTTGAACTCTCTTGAACAATACATATCATTCATAACCTAAACAAGGAGTTTCGCAATTGTGAGCCTGACATCACCTGGCTGCGATTAACGTGCCCACATGTAACTTGTCGCACTAACCCGTATACAAGTTAGATAAACTTTGTTAGCCTGTCAAAGCTTTTTTCTTCATATTTTCTTTCTTTACTGAGAGCAAAAGAAAGTGATGATCTTATATCTAATACAAAACTGCCAATAATACCAAGAAGACAAACCGAAAAACTAATTAAAAAAAAAACAAATAGAATGAAGGAGACATTTTAAAGGAAATAAAAGGGGGTACAATGAAATGTAAAAAAAAAAAAAAAAAAAAAGAAAAGCCTGAAGGCCAACAAAGAGAAACTACCTCTATCAAGAAATAGTACAAATAAAATGAAAGAAAAAAGAAAAATACACTATTATAACCCGTGCCAGATTTAAGAAAAAATTTTATAACAACTATAATGTTTGTATATCTCGACTACAAAATCTAACAACTTATTATCTGACTACTGGCCACCTCCAGATACTTATTATGCCAGAGACCCGATCCCAGTCATGTGGAGGTCCCGTATCCATAGATTACATCATGTATTGTATCCACCGATAAACAAGACACATGGTTGCATTTCTGGATATATTCGAATTTGGGAGGTAAACAATGCCGATCTTTTGAAGGAAATAAGCCAAATCATTCACTTTTTGTCAAAAATTTTGAAAAAACTGGCTGAGCAAAAAACACCTAGTAAGAGACTACTTGTACTCAAAGAAAGTAGTTACATTCATGTAAAGACTCAACAACTCCTAAACCTTCTTCTAGGAAAGAGGTAGGGCACCTATACTTCTTTTTGATGAGTAATAAACTCTGGGCTTGTCAGCAAGTAGTATATAAGAACTATTTCTAAACAACAAGTGCTGTGCATGCAGTGAGTGATAAACTCTGAAGAAGTTAGCAGGTAGTATATGAGAACTACCTCTAAATAACAACTACCAACTTATAGCTATTAGTATGCTCTCCGTTTTTTACTAAACACTATTGTGTTTTTTATAAAAAATGTGTTTAGATTTTTGGTACAGATGATTGTTGATTTAAATAATTAATAAAATTAGTTATAAATTACTAATATATAGTACAGTATTTTAAGAATTTTAAGAGATATGGTTAAATTTTACGGATCCGCCTTACTTCACCGACAATCATTTCACCGACAGCTCACTTAGCCAACATCACACCAAGTGACAATTTACTAAAAATATAAACTTGCAACTAATAAAACACTAATTCTAACCCTATGTGATATCGGCTAAGTGAACTTTCGGTGAAATGATTGTCGGTGAAGTGAGCAGTACCGAAATTTTACAGATGATAATTTTAAAAAATAAGTCTATAACATAATAATAATTATTTGACAATTAGTTAGATTTTTAAATTTGTAACCTTGGCTACACTATCTAAAATAGAAGCTATGGTGCAATAATCTAAGAAACTAGAATAATTAAAACTTATTTAAAAAGTTCCAAGTAGAGAAGTAGCAGTAATTTTTAATAGTGCTACAGAAAGATCAAATTTAAAACCAAAAACTAAAATCAAAGAACCAAGTAACTAAATTTTTAAGTAGAGGAATATTTACTAGATCTATTGTACTAGAGAAAAAAATATATACTTTAGAAATATGTACCAAGAAAAAATAAGCCAGAAATACTGGGGTTAGGGTCTCATAGCCTAGTGGTCTAGGCACCTAACCCTCTACAGACGAGGTCGACGGTTCAATTATAGCTGGTAGTAATTAATTTAATTAATTATCTCTGTAATCTTTAGGAGCTTTCGAATACGAAACCCTGTAGCGGTAAGACTATGTGATGTATATATTTGGCCGATAAAGAATTCTTAGAAGAAGCCCCAAGCCATGAAGAAGACTGAGCACTGTGTATGATATGGGTCGCAGAAGGTAATACTGCAGAAGGCTATGCATGTAAATCCACGATTGGCAAGGTAGCACCAACAACCCTAAAGTGGCATTGGGATCTTGTTTGGGAGAATGGCTGTATGCAGTATATCCAGAAGTAGTGAGAGAAGTGGTGAATATAGTAAGGAGCTGTTGTAAGAGAATGGCTTTACTAAATATGGAACATCTCTGGCGCAAGAAAACAAGGAAAACCAGCTAAAAGAAACTCCAAAAAGCATGAAAGCAAGCACTCTGGTAGTACAAAAATAAAGATAGCTAGTGAGTAATGTGTTGCACAACCTATATGGGAGTCGTGAGAGTAAACGAAATATAGTAGAAGTGTGGGTCCTGGGTTACTGGCTTGTGACAGTAATTAAATAAGGTACTTAACTCCCGTCCTAAGGATCTAGGCTTCTGTAATACCATACTGATAGGGAGTACTATAAAAGAAGCAGTAGTCTAATTTGGTGGTGTACGATGCGAATACCTGGATCGATGTGAAATAACACTCTAGTATGGCAGCAGATGCCTTGAAATACGAGTCTTATAACCTGGCAGCACCTGGCTTAAGATACGAATTAGGTTCTTAAAGTAGCTCCCCAGGGACATTAAACTGGAAGCATGAAGAGCACCTCGAAAGACACCAATTTGGAAGTAATACAAGAAATGAATTAGAAGTAATATAATAAGTGATGAGGGGTGGAAGTTAGTTGGTAGATGTTGTATAATAGTATATAAGTGGGATATATATAATATAATTAAGTTTGGGAACCATCTGATAATCTAGTAATTGGTCTAATTGCAGGGCAGTTACTAAGGAGGTAAAAGTCTCATATAGCAGGTCGCACATAGGTATCT